CTGTTGGTTAGGTACCTCAGTTAGGCATGCTATACCATACTAAGTATACGGGTACTAGTAAAAAGCGGTAGTTACCTTACTCAGTAGGGTAACCTAAGTAGTCAATTTGGGAGCTACCCTAAAATACTCAATAGTGAGTCCGAGTAGAGTTACCCTACTTTTGAACTAAAGTTACCCTGCCTTGGGCTATGGGTTACCTGGTTCTGCAGCCAAGTTACCCTACCTTGAAAGTAACTTGTTATGCAAAACTTCGGGGGAAGTTACTAGATTGTTTGTCACACGAAACTACATAGGGTATTTGAATCTCAGGTTGTGCGGATGACTCCCGCACAACCAGTTGAGCTCCAAACAAGCTGTAACTTGGAGCTGTGGTGGTTAACACCCCCCTCCGGCCCCGTTATAAGTCCCTGGTGTCATGGGCTACAGCCTGGAGAGTTGCTGTAAGCCTAGTAAATATCTACAGATAGAGATGCTCTTGTAACAACTTATACATTCCCGCTGTCCATCTGACCGAAAGTAGTCACAGGATATCTGAGGAGGTAGAGGTGAACCTGAAGAATGGTTTCCAGGTGGCTTCGTGTAAAACGGACCAGAACTAACAGAGTAATACTACTTTGAAGCCTAAGATAGTATGTGAGGTTACCGAAGGCTAGTAGGCAAGGTAACCAAAGTCCGTTGTCCTGAAAGTGTAATAGTATTTGAGAATCATTAGGGACTGTGAGACACTAGTCTAAGGTCATGATAAGACCTGTTTCTAGGAGGGTTGACTGTGGGTAGCGCCTATTGGTAGTCAACATCCAAAGGGATCTACCAGGTGAGCTACGTGGCCATTATCCGCAATCATATGGAATAGAGTTGAACCAGAGAGATGTTCAGGAGCTGTGGATGCTTGTAGAAGACTAAGTGTATATGGGTAGAGAGTTCCATAGTTGGTATCACATCTACTCGGGTATGGTAGCTCGCCACTAACATGTCCACCATATGAAGAGTTATTACTCCTGCAGTTGCATTGTAAATGCAGTGGCTACAATACTTCTATTGAGTGGATGTTAGCAAACCACAAGAGTAGTCTAGTTCGCAATGGGGGATCTTTGGTCCGACCCGTGGAGGTTAGCTAGGCAGCCCAAGGGAGTCTGGTGCTCACAAATATAGAGTAGTGATAGGGAGTAACTGGCAATATATGAAATCTACAAAAGTATATGCAAGTTCTCCTCTACTCTGGCAATCCACTACCTCTCGAGATCAGGACTTAATTGAGTAAAAGCTGTGGCTTAATGATATTAAGTTTTACCATTTTGTTTCTTCAAACTCTACTGTTAAGACTTTTGACATTTATTATATTTGTTCACTTTTGCAGAAGAATTCATTTCAGAGCGGTCACAACCTTGGAATCTATCTTCCCAGAGGGAGCCCCCATTACAGGTATGTTGCTAAATACTTTCAGAATTGTGAAATATCTCAGTTCATGGAAGAGGATAAGAGTATCAGTAGTATGAACTAGGCATTTCCAAACCCTCTCTATCAGATGAGGTATTGCAATTGGGTAATTTTGATAAATCAATCTTGAGATCAAATAAAACAAATCTACAGACTCAGAGAAAATTTTATATTGACTGTTGCTAAATGGCTTTTACTTGCACTGCTTGGAAAATATTGAAAAAGGTTTTTTTATTAATACTAGGCAAAGACAATCTGTATAGACTAAGACATGCTTAAGCTAAATGAGATTCATGTGTAGTTGGAGATTTGTATAGCAAGGCTCAAACCGTTGCTCATTTAGTTTATGATAACCAAGAGTGAAGAAAAGGAAAATAGATATGTGTGAATAATATTATATTGTTAAAGTCTCTTCTTAGTTGCATGATAATATCTAAAAGCTTAGGAGGCAATTCAATATTTATATTCTGTCTCTGTGTGTTAGTGGACTACATCTTTTGCTTATACAAATTATGTACCTCTTTAAATATAATTCACAATGTCAGGTTTTCTCCTAAAATACCAATACTAGGAGACACTGAAAATTATCACACCCTTATCAGTAATTACTATTTTGCCAATTGGGAACTGTACTATTTCCAATAGTAATTATGTGATCTTTAGAGTTATTAGACTTATGGCCTAGTTCTCAAGTCAAACTGTGTTGGCCTCATTTGCCTTCTCTATTAATGAAAGGACTAGTTTCATCTGTAGGTCATGTTTGCAGAAGTAGTTGTTGATATGACCTTCCTAGATCACCAACTTTAAACCTCCATAACTCCTGATCCAATCCACAGATATCCTCAGGATGGCTTCATACTAATTTGTAGGAAGCCATTCTATGGAATCAGCAGATAATCACATAGTGGATAACTCCTGTTTGTTCTAGTTAACAGGTCTTTATTTGTTGCTTGGTATTAGTAATAATTCTGGCAACTAAAATGTATCAGGGACCTAGTTGTAACACTCCACAAAGCTGACTGGCTTTTTTCGTAGTGTCCCTCAGAGTTTTAGACTCTTCTAATTATCATTGTATTAATGAGAATGTGTTGGCTATTCATAGAAATCCTCTAACATTTATTATTATGTCTTTATACCAAAACGTCCTATTACCTATGAGTCATACCAAGGATGCTCCATCTTTGAAGCCTTGTAACCTACAGAGTAGTTGATGGCTTTACTCTATTCTACTTTTCAAACCTAGCAGAAGATCCTGTTTCATATATTCTGCGAACAGGGACTGGTCAGAGAGACAGTAGCTATGTATATAGTGTTATTCTGATACTTCTATTTCCTGTGGCACTATAGCCATAGGACGCAACTAAGATCAATATGTATGATGAGAGGGAGGTCCCATTAGGGGGCCAGATAGGGTATTGGAGACTCGAGATTCCAATTCCAAGTGGAGTTACCCTACTTAAAATGGTTCCTAACTATTGGATCCTTGTACTCCTAATAATTAAGGCTTGTACTACCTAGATAGATGGTATTTTCAACCTCTTTACTGTAATAATGGGCATAGGGAGAGAAAAGACTGATTGCTAATAGTTGAACATGATTTGTAGAATGAGCAGTAAGACAGAGAACAACAATCCAGTATTCCACACAGTAATTGATGAATTGCTAGGAGACATGTGACTAATATCTATCTAAGAGCAAAAGGAGACACTCCTGTAGGATTCCTGGCTGTGAATCTTATCCAAAACAGTAAGTTAATCAATCTAGACAAAGGAAACTATTTGTCCAACTATTTGGTGAAGTACCAATACGCCAACCTCTAGGAAGTTTGTTCTTATACTACCCTTACTACCATTGTGATCCCTAAAAAATTAGCAATCGGTGAACATTTTACTCCTTACTCCAACATGTTCTAATGTGGTAATAGCCTCCTAACTACCATATTGAGTCAGAAACCAATGCTTTTGACCTGCATTGACAATTACTTTACAAGATTTAGTCAAGCCAAGAAGAAAATCCTTTTCATCCATATTCCAAATATTTTGACTTCTGATGTTATACTTGTACACAGTTTGCTCATAAAGAGTAAAGAACTCTTGAAATAACTGGGTATTATTACATATCACAGCTGACTTGTCCAAGAATCGACTATGCATGGTTGCTAGTATTAGGTGACAGGCTAAGAATCATTTATGCTAGTTCTTTTCAATATAGTGGAGGTTAGCAGGGCTTAAGTGTGTTGCTGGTTCACTTAATATGATAACTAGAGGTGTTGGAGAAGTCTGAGAACATTTTGACGTGACTCAGTCATAAAAATCATCCTCGTCCAGTATATTACGCAGTCGTTGTTCTGGCAATACAGCTGCTGCCATTTGCCTCAAGTAGTCTATCAGAATTGAAAATCCCCAACTCTCTATTTGAAGTGCCCACTCTTGTAGGGCCAACTCCTCCGCAGATGTGAGTAGTTGTCATGATTGATGTGCATTTGCATGATCTCTACTCATCCCATCCAATTGTCTTCCCAGTATGCTATATGGAACACCATATGAACTCGCCACTTTGCAAATAGAAATCTTTGGTGCTTTATTTGGTCCCTTTTCGCGCCGCTGGTTACTTTTTTTTGACTTATTTACCTTGTAAAATCCCATAGCAAGAGTCAAAACTTCTTCATTGGTATGGTGGACCAACTTACTTTGGTCATCCATACTGTGGCTCCAGGGATAATTTTCTTGCAATTAATGAGTCTACAGTTTAGAGTTGGTTTCCAGCTTTTATTATAAAAAGTTTTAGTATTTGTGGGCTATTTCTTTGTGGAAATATCAGAATGGTCACAGAAGATTCATTGCGTTGCTTTGACGTGATTCACTTCCCTGTCTGATCCCCTTCCCGGTCCAATACGTTAGTTGAGTTGCCTGCTAAATGCTTAAACACGAAGAGTTTTTGGCCGCCAATAATAAAATTTAGAAATATTATCTAGTCGGAAAAAAATTGCGTTCAAGTGGAAAATTTGCAACATTCGTGATATGCAGAGCTGGCGGCTTATCATCCGTTCACATGCAATACTGGAGTCCGGTACCGTTCCCGTTCCACCGTCTTAGCAGCTTTGCGGTGGGATAATCACTAGGCTACCCCACAGCAATGAATATAAGAATTGGTAGTGTTGAACCGGGATAAAATGGGATGGCGCAAACACCTTCCCAGCACCTCCCACCCACATTCCTACTGCCACACTTCATGTCGTTCGTGACGGCTATGATATCTGCGCGGCCTTGATCCATTTTATCTCCCTTCCTCCCACCCTTCTTCTTTCCTTCCTTCTTCCTCTATTCCTACTCCTTCGCTACGGATATATTAAAGTAAAGTGTGGACTATGCTATGCCTACGAGAAACCTCAAAAGGCAACGAGTTGAGACATTTCCGAAGAGTCTATCCGCCGATAGTTAATATCATAATCTGTTAATGGCTAGCTTGCTTCTATCCTCTCGTCCCCCTTTCCTTTCTCCTGATAGGAGTCTGTACACCTGCTTCTCTCCTCTCAATAATTTTGGCCGATGCATCACAATCGGTCAATCAACAATAAGTTAACAATTCATACTTCACATCACCACCAATACCCCATATAATCGAAAGGAATAATAAAGCTATCATATGAAAACATGCCCCTTCACCTCCAATCGCAAAACTACTGATACACAATTTATCCCCCCCTCAATATCCAATCTCACTCAATAGCTCCCGTCCTATTCAATATATCTCCAAACTTTCAATATCTCGACTTCCAATTAAACTACCAACCGACCATCAATTCAACACAACGATAACGATAGATGTTAAACCTTGGCGCTCGCATTGGTACACTCCGTTCATCAAACAGACCATCACCGACTTTTTTTTTTTTGCACGGGAAAAAAAAAAAAAACAATAACGACAACGGAGAATAACTAGTAAAGAAAGGAGAGATAAATGAAAGAAGCTAAAAACACAAAAGGGAGAATTTGGATGGGTGAACTTGAGACTAAAATGACAATGGAGAACAAAAAGACAAATAAGGTAATGAAAACCCACATATGGGGGAGTGAAAGCGAATAAGCCAAACTTCCTGAACTTTTTTTTTTGCGTTTTCGCGAACGACAAACCTTAAACAACCTAATAGGAACATAGGAGCTCTGAAAGACGAGAAAAAAGAAAATTGGTACTATCAATCTCTTGAAAAGTGAGTTGTTAGGTCAGGTCGCCATATCATTTCCCCAGGACTTCACATCATTTGGTCTTGCGTTAAGGTGGGCTCGGTAACCTCCATTGCATCAGCGCCGTTGCTACCAAAGCTATTATACTTGACATATGAGAGTCCTAGGGGTCGGCCTCCGTAGAGGTAGCCGGTGAATTTAGCTAAAATCAAAAGTCAGTTAGAGCCATCAGAAAGCATGGTAACATCGTGAGGATCCATACAAATTGCTGTTTCTGCATTCTCAGCAGTATCAAATAAGACTACACCCGTACCCCTGGATCTTCCGTTAGGCTCGTACTGAATCTCAGCACGTTCGACCTTTCCAATCGTATTAAACAACTCGACCAGGTCATCATTGCTGGTAGACCACGGGAGCTAGGATAGTCAGTAAACTTCACCTGAAAGGAACCGAAAATAGTCAAGTGCAAGCCTTACATTGCGGACGTAAATTGTCGCACTGCGTTCACCCCCACTAGTGGCGTGATCGGTGAACTCGTTAGGCGGCACAGAGGAATAGTCACTTCCACCATAACCCCCACCAAAGCCGCTGCCGCCGGCACTAGGAGCTCCTCCCCCGCGTCCTCCACCATAGCCGCCTCCAAAGCCTCCACCGCGTCCAGCAAAGCCTCCGCCACGACCAAATCCGCCGCCAAAGCTACCCCCACGACCTCCACCAAAGCCCCCGCCGCGACCGCCAAATCCACTAGATCCTGCGAAACGGTCCTCTCTAACCTCCAACTGACGACCTTGCCAATCATAGTTGTTGAACTGCGCAATAGCATTACGGGCATCTTCAGGGGACTCAAACGCGACTACACCACTACCTTTGGGGCGCCCGTCAGGGCCAATGTGAACATCGGCACGCACAACGGCTCCTACGTGAGTTGTATTAGTTTATCATGATGTGAGCTCACGAGCGGATCATTTGATTCAACACTAAGTTATCCAGGGCGAATGAGTCTTAAAAAAAAGAAAACTTACCAGCTTGACGGAACAAGTCCTTCAAGTCTTGCCAACCAGCAGTGTAAGGGAGCTATCACGAGAATTAGAATGTCAACTCAAATATACATCCAGGAAGTTACAGGGACCCACATTAGACACGTATATCTGACGCCCCCCGGCCCCAGGAACACCACCACCCCCACCGCCACCGCCAGAGTATCCACTACCAGGATAACTGCTACCCGGCGGACCGCCAGGGTAGGGAGGACGAGTGCCTTGCTGGCCAGTAAAGCGAGGTTCTGCCTCACGATCCTAGACCATTGTGATGAATTAACACCTCATGTAAAAGGAAAACGTCCAATATTTATAGATTTACCTCTCGGACATAGACGAGTCTGCCCATTAAATTTTGATTGCTGAGGGTGTTAACAGCAGTCTGAGCTTGATCCCTAGTGGCATATTCCACAATCCTGCAGTTGCTGGTCAGCAAACCTGTTGGCGCGACAATGAGAGGAATGATATTGCCTACCCGCATCCCTACAAGTAACCCGCGGACGACCGTGTCCATCCCCGTCAATCACCACATCCCACAAGAAGCCCACAAAAGAAAAAACCAAAAAAAAAAAAAAACACCCAGTATCTTCACAGTTGTGCCCACCTTCGACATTCCATTCGGAAGCAACAAGACATCGGCGAAGAGGACCTCTCCGGCTATAACGGGGTGGGCGAGGGGAAACATCAGCAATAGAACCAAACAATATAATGAAATAAGATGCCGATGAGCGAGACAAAATAAGGTGCATACACCACCATCACATAGATTTGTCAGAACCATTGTTATCCTCATTCGAGGGATGAGATAAATGATAGCCATTTGCAATGGATAATGAGAACGGTGGTAGTGATGATTGTGGTAATGACGGAAATGGCGGCAGGGGACTGTCTTGGGGAAGAGTAGAATACTAACCTTGTCGCATAAAATCTTTAAGGTGATGCCATTTGACATCGTAGGAAAGGTTTCCGACGTAAACTCGGCGGTCCTGCTGAGAACTATCACGAAGGCTCTGCATCATAGCGTCCTTTGCGGCTGCACGTTCTTCGTAACTTCGACGAGGTCCACCAGCCCCTCCACTACTGCCTTGGTATCCAGATCCTGAATATCCCCCTTGGTGACCGCCACTTCCACTCATAGGCGAGCGAGAGGACCGCCTTCTGTAATCGTCCCGGCTTCGAGATCTGCTTCGAGGTGAGTATGATCTACGACGATGGCGAGGACTGCGTGGTGACCTTGCGCGATCACGATGGTCTGGAGAACGACGACGTGGTGAACGAGATCTATCACGCTGTAAAGCCGATGTGGGGTGGTCCATCAGCATTGTACCTAAATGGAAGAAAGTCCAGACAGGAAAAATGGCAGAGATGTAGGGGGGGATGGCACGCGGTGCGGGAAGACGGCGCCAGCGAGAAGGTTGCGAGCGGATGCGACCTTCCCACAGCGGACATAACTGCAACCCTGGTGGAGTGGGGGACAATGGAATCACAGGGATAGAGCAAAATAGGTATGGGAGAATTTTTCTTTTCTTTTCTTTTCCTGTCCGGGGGCGCGCCCAGAAAGGATTGGAGAAAGAAGGAGGGGGGTGTGGGGTGAAGCATTGAAGCCCGACGGCCACAGGCAAGCTGCCGGCTGAGGAAAAGAGCACCATCGCTGGTGAAATGGGCAGATGGAGGGAGGGGGGCGGGGGGTGCAAGCATTGCAGGTCTTGCAGAAAGCTAACAAATTGCCAATGCAAGCAAGGTCTGCACGCAGAGGAAGAGGAACATACCGGTACAGACAAGAGGGGAGGCAGGTAAGTGCTTCAAGCAGAACGCTTGCTGAATGAAGCGAACGGGGGGGTGAGGGAAGGGGGATGGGGGATGTGAGAGGAGTGAAAACTCGAAAAGGGTAAAAAAGGGAAAATAAAACAGAAATATTTAAAATCAAGAGCAATAGAAGCCGGGCTAAAATGATGACTTTTAAATTTCAAAATGTACTTACGTGCCTGTATTCGCGTTCAATAGATCGGCCTCCTTCTAAGGCTGCTGGGCGGTAGGAATCACTCTCTGCTCGCGAGAAATGTGTCGAGTTAGCTTTAGAGGAAAACAAGAAGCGTAAAAGAGCTTGATTGGCGGGGATAAAATCAGAGGTGTTGGGAAGCAGACCCATAGGTGCCTCTCCTTTTTATATAGAACGGGACTAGGTGGGAGAGAAGTAACGTTTCTCGTGCGGAGACCTTATGGGGGGGGGGGGGTGATCGGGCGTGCAGTGGGTTCTTCTGGCTGTCGAGAGGGAAAAGTTTGGAGCGATTGGGGGAAAAAGGTGTGATAGAAACAAACCAGGGGGCTGGATGATTTTGGACACTTTGGAAGGGGCTGCTGGGCTGTTGGTGTCTGAACCTCTCCTCCGGGTTCTTTCTGTGGAAGGCTCTCGCAGGATGGGAGAAAAGGGAGGGTAAAGATCTGGAAAAGCCCTGTCGTGTTATCGCGTGGTCTTCGGGTACAACAGGAAGAGAAAATAGAGGGGAAAATGGAGAAAATACAAAGAAATACAAAAAATACATTACCATACTAAATCTGACAAGAAAGGGTGAAAATCTCTTTGCTGGTCAACGAGTTAAAATAAAAATAATCAATAAACTTTTCCCTTTATTTTTCATTTTTCAGTTATTTTCTATGATGCGAGAGTAAAATTCGCGAAATGCGTCTGGTACAAGTAGCAATATCGGTATTAAAAGCATTCTTGGGGAAAACCCTTCATTCCTCCCATTCTTCCATCTTTGCTCTACGCCATTTAGTGTTGACAACGGTGATGGTGATGATGATAGCGCTGATGATGACGATGATGATGATGATGATCCTGGTGCCGATGATGCCAATGACGGTATTAATGCTAATGAAGGTTTTGGTAAAGGTGCTGTAAGACCAAAACCAAACGCGGAGGTTATTTTACATCGGTGCTGGTTCTATTGGCTGAGTCTTGTTCTATTCTTCTACTTGTAGTGTATGTGCACAGCACAGGACTGATGATGCCCTGGCTTCCATTGTACCGTCGATATATATTCATTGTGTTCGCCGGTATCGGTATATCTCCATATTCACCTTTGAATATCTCCTTCCAAACTACCGGTACTCGAGTACTTTACCATGCTTATGCCTATAGTGTTAGCGGCACTATATGTGCACCCTTATGGACCATACGAGTACACACTATCAAGGACTCCCCTTCCTTCTTCCCTACCCCCCTGGGCAAAACGGACACAAGTTCAGCTGGGGCCGGACAATGAAGTAGAAAGCATTAGAGATGAAAGAACAGCTAAGAGACCAAAAGAAAAGGCCTAGCCGAGGATTGGCAGGGTTTAATCATTCGTCCTCGGGAAGCAAAGGAGGGGAACGAGAAAGAAAAGAAAAGAAAAAACTTCACTTCTCTTGCGTGAATGCTGAATGCTGAATGCTGAATGGTTGGATTTACTTAATCTACACACTGCTGCTGGTGATTGAGATGGGGTCTTGGGGGGAATGCGAGTGGGGAAAGGTCAGAAAGCCTTCGCCTTCGTTTACCGCACTCACTTCCCATGCTCGAGTATTCCAAGGCTGCGGCGGCAACAAGGTAACTATAATCACATTCTTACGAACCAATCATCTGAGGATAAAGCGAGGGAGCCTCGAAGAAAATCGCTCGATGTTGGATTACATGGACTTCGCGCCCGGAAAAAGGGCCGAGTATGATGGGTAGAGTATCATAGATTGAATTAACATATCCTGGATGCTAACAATCGAACATACGAGTACTCTCACATTTTCTTTTGATCTTGAACCTGTGGTGAGGAATTGGGCGAGCACGGTATTATTTGTGTGGGAGACATTAAACCCGGTTGACAATAACAAGTCACAATTCGACGTATGTATATACGCATATAATTATGTATATATATGTATACTCGAGTACCGGTTTGTGTAGACCGCGAGTCCGTAATGGCTCTCCCTCCTCCTCTCGCTATCTAAGTGTTTGTGTGTGTCTACCCATGTGTGTGCCTACGATACCGGTATGCTATGTCGGGATAAACAATAATTATGATAGAATTGGCCAATGGGCAAGATGGAGGAAGGATGGATGCCCGCAACTCGAGATGGAGGAAAGAGGCGGACGGACAGACACAGAGGTGTTCTCACTACCGGTATCTCCTTCGTGGGTTCTTGCACAAACGCCAAGTGATAGGTAATACGCTAACTCACACGCAAAATACTTGGTGCACAACGGTTTTGTACAACCTGAGGAAAACGGGGAGATGGACTCAGGAATGCATAAACCATACCGAGACTCATCTGCAGCATGTCCGCATTTACATATATGAAGAGGGAAAGGACTGCAGATCGACAAACGAATTCGCAATGACGCATATAAAGGCTCTTCCCGTTCGACCCAGTCCCCCCCGAGTGAGTGAAGTGGACTCTGATTTGACCGGTTCGTTTCAATGGAGAATAACTCAAGGAAACAAAGAGTCCATTTTACCCCCCAAAAAAAGAGTCACAACTTGAATCTCCATCTCCGGTCCAAAAAAAAAATATATGATACCGGCTCTTCCAAGTCAAGGAGAAGTATAGCATATCATAACTAAGGCCACCGAACTCGTTCAGTGCTTCCCGAAACGATAATGATATGATCAAGCAATAGCTGGGCTAAAATGGATTGAGGAAAGCTTCTTTTTCTCATTCTCTCTCCCTATTTTTTTCTGAACTTCTCATTTTGAACTTCCTGCATTGGGAGACAGACAGTCACGAATTTTCTTTGCCCCCCCTCATCTGCCGGCCGTTAAGGACGACTCCCGCTCTGCAATGTTGCAATGTGCAGAAAGAGGAGAAAAGGACCCCGGTGTCCACAGTCAATGCTTTCACTCGACTAAGGGTGTGGGCACGGTCGATATAATCCCACGCACTGCGCATGTATTTATGTGTTTATGGCTTTTTTTTTTTTTCCTTTTCGAAAACAGGGTTTGTTAAAACTGGTCGTAACATCATCAGTACGGTACTCGAGTAGAGAGAGGTTAGGTGCTGGGATATCCAAGGGCAGTTCATTTCTTATTTCTCTCACCATGGATGGACTTAATCTCTTGTAGATATGATATGATATGACATGTCGCAGTGTGATGGTGGCTGGCTGAAATAACACAACGTTCAATATGGTCGGAATGAGGCTCAAGAAAAAGAAGAAAATGAGAGGAGGGGAAGAAAGGACGCGGGGTTTTGAGGGGAAAGGGAAGAAAAAAATGAAAAGAAAACTCATAAGCTCTTGGCACTTGCAGAAGAAAAAGGACCAGAAATTTAATGGCGATAATAGTGATAATGCTGTAACCTTACCACTGTCACTTGTGTAATTGAGAAGTCGTGGTTGCTCCCCTAGCTGCCACAAGCGACCGTCACCCACTATCGTTCATATCCCAGCCCAAGCAAACCTGAGCGCACCATCTCCACTCATCAGCATGCTTAACACATAAGGAGCTATCGCACCACCATGACCGTACGAACGAACCTCTCTCACCCCTCAATCCGCTGGATGCTCTCGAAACCCATCACTTCCGCGTCCGCCGCCTCCTGCTGGTCCTCCTTAACAGCACCTCGTATCAACTTGCCTCGACGATACCATTCGTACCAACACCCAGCTCCTGGGCCATCCTCCACAACGGCCAAATCAGCAATTCTGTCTGCCTCTCTCCCCCACGTTCCGTCACATGGATTCTCCGATACAGCACTTGCTTTTGGTTCCCGTGACGCCGGCTACCTCGACATCTCGGTTAATATGTTGCCCGGAGGAGTCTTCGACCTCGTACGCTATCATCTTGTCACTGAGCGTCTCCGATTAGGCGACAAGATTGACTTTCGGAAGCCTGAGAATGAGTTGCCGGAGGGTCTGAGGAATCTGGATATCACCACTAAAATCCAGATCCTGTGTATGGAGCGCCTTAAGGCGAACGCTCATATCATACATAGATGGCAAGAGGTACACCCCCCTCCTCCTCACCCTAATATCTATCAGAAAGTTCTTTTTTTCTTTTTTTCTTTTTCTTCTTGATATCAAAAATTTCCGGTGCCTGCCCGCCGCTGCCCCGCCTCCTCTTTACTTTTGCTTTCCAATTGCGGATTTGGGTGAAATTGGCTGATGTGGTTTCAACGGATTTGTTCATGAAGGCTCTGGCTGTCATGTCACTAACTGAGAATATACCTGCATCTATGTCAGAATTGGCCAAGCTCTCGGACGAGATATGGTTTCTTGCTGGGGATGAAAGCCATGACACAACGTGGTATACCAAGCGCGCCACGCTCGCCGTGGTTTATGCGAGCACCGGTATGGAAAATCTCCTTCCCAATTGCTTAACACACAACAGACTTCTTTCTTTTGTTTCTATCCGATACTGATCTTCAACTTGGCCTTTTTTTTAATTTTTTAATTTTTATTTTCTTGTTCTTACCACATCTTAGAATTGTTCATGACACACGATAATTCGAAAGACTTTGAGGCTACACAGGAGTTCCTGGGCCGACGACTCAATGACTTGAAAACCGCTGGGTCAGCCGTGTCAAACGTCGCGTCATATCTCGATTTCACGGTTCATGCATTTGCAAATGTGCTCCGTTCGAAAAACGTTCCGTTTTTTTGAACGCAATAGCCACCGAAATTCAACTGCTTGCTCCAATTCCTCCTCTGCTCATCTTTTGTTGTATTTGTTCACCTCCGGGGGAGGGGCGTCTATCTCCTTGTTATGTATATACCATAGAATAAATAATGGGTTTTATTTGCAAAGTAAACATGAGGTGTGTGTATGGGTGCGAAGGAACCAGGGTGGTATTTAAGGGTAAAAAGATAATTATTCAGTGCTTAGGACAGTTCTGCCTAATAGGGAGGTTCTGCTACGACAGTCATAATTCGAATTATGCTTATTTTATGAAGAAATCCTTGTAAAGACTATATAGGCAAAAAGAAAAAAAAGAAAAAAAAGACCTTGCGTTTGGATTGTGAGTTTGTAGTTGACAGTATCTGGAGTGTCCAGAGTGTGTCTGGTGCATCCCGTTACCTAAATAGGACAATTATAGAGATGTGAAAAACAAACAATTTGCACTAAATGGCTTGACAAATGGATAATTATTTTGTACACTTCCTGGGATTTAAAGTGGTAAGATTATTGTACTAGAAATTTGCAAACATTATTTTCAAAATGAGGACAGACTGGCAGATTATACCTGATTGGACTCAAATTTTAACTAAGTATAGAAAATTTTTATATCTTTTTATTCACATAATGCATTTTGATTAATTTTTAATATGATATGTTTCTCAGTCTTAATACTCATAGGATGTACTCCTGATATATAGAAAGGATAGGAATATGTAGATACAAACAGGTTTACAGGAGATACTGAATGTTGTTTTTATTGATGCATATATTCTTGTGAATACCTTTTAAAATATTTCACATAGTGATAATTAAAAAACTACTCAAACCCATTTTGTTCTATTAATAATCAAAACAGATGTAGAAAATTTCAAACAGAAAGTGCAGAAACTACTTAAAGCTTCTATAAATATTACTGATTTTATTCATAATTTTTTAGAAAGGACTAAGATCTAGGGTAAATATTTGAATGAGTTGTTGGAAACTTTTAATACAATCTACTATATATAATAGATACCTTTTAGGTAAGGGCAAACCAGTATACAGAAATCTTTTCTAATTGTAGAAAAAATTAAAAATCCAATAGTATTATTATATTTATATTTATTTTTATATTAAATTTTTACTTTCTAAATTTTTTCTCATGATTTTATAATTAATATGGGGGCAGAGGAATTCTTTAGAAACATTTCAGGTTATTAATTGTATATTTCCTGAGTAATGGTATCAAAATAATTTGTTATAAAATACATAGCAATTGAAAGGAAAAGAAATATTTCATTTATTTAATATGTTGAACAAAAGACAAGCTAAGATTTATGGATCATATTAGTATGTGCTACATAGACCCATAACCTCCTCTACTGCCCAGAGTTTAGTGGTTAGATAAAAAACTATTAAGGTCCTGTTTGGCATGACACAGAATAAAAGAACTCAGTTGGTACAGGAAATGGAGTTTTTGTGGAAATATTGGTGTTTGGTAAGCTTAAAGCTTTTTTTTGTTTTTACTTTGATGGTTGACGATCATTTGGAGCATAATTAATAGTAAGATATTGATATCATAGGTTATACATAAAAATTAAAGTATAATTTTTTTTCCCTCTACTATGACCATACTATATCTAACTATCTGAATAACTCTTAGTCATTTGTATTTCCTATAACTACTTTTTCTAGAGATTTCTCACCAATCCTCTACCAAAGGCTGCATCTCGCTACGCCTCTCCTCACCACTGCTCATCTTACTACTGCTCACCTCCATACTGCTCTTCTTACTACTGCTCCTCTTGCTACTGCTTCTCAGACTGCTGCTCCTCTACCTGCTGCTCCTCTACCTGCTTCTCCTCTTACAGCTGCTTCTTTACCTGCTTCTCCTCTTGCTGATGTTCCATTTACTGCTGCTCCTCTCGCCACTGCTTCTCTTGCTGTTGTTTCTCTTGATACTGTTACTCTTACTACACCTCCTCTTACTGCTATGCCGGTTGCTGCTCCTACTTTTACTGCTACTCCTCTTGACGCTGTTTCTCCTGCTACTGCTTATCCAGTTGTAGCTCCTCTCACTTCTACTACTCTTGCTTCTTTTGCTCTCTCTTGCACTCCTCTTGATTTTGTCACTCTTACTTGCACCACTCTTGCTTCTATTGCCTTGCCTTTACAGTACTTCTTTCTGCCACTCTTACTTCCAGAACTCTCACTTCTACCACTTTCACTTCTACAGCTCTCACTTGCACTGCTCTTACTTCTGCTGCCTTTACTACTACTCCTGTTACCAATACTCTTTATCACTTTAGCTTATATTTACGGCAGTTTTGTATAAACTTCTTCTATTATGGGAAATAGTATTTGGGTAGAAGGTACCAAGAAGGTTTTAATTGAAGCTCTTCTCCAGTGTGTAGAAAATGGAGAATATGATGAGAATGGCTTTAAGAAGTCAACTTGGTATTATGTTGTTCAAGATTTGAATTCACAATTTGTCTATATTATTGATATACTATTTACTGAAACATAAGTAAAGTGGAAAGAATCAAGTATATGTATATTTCCTTCCTAATATATAATTATTTTAAAACATTTTACCATATTTATTCTGAAAGTTTAAATACTAATACAAGTATAGTTAAAGTATGAGTTTGATATTATTTAAAGTATTCTCCAAAATTCTGGGTTTGGATGGGATTCAAATCTTGGAATTCCAATAGCACCACCTACTGTTTGAAAGAGTTATCTGAAAATACTATTCAATAGGCTTATATCCTGCTTTTATCTTGTGTTTTGTTCCAAATTGCTATATATCAATATTCGTGCTCTTATTTTTTTTTAGACACAAATAAAAGGTTCAAAATTTCACCATAAACCACTTCCTTATTATGATCTTCTGGAATAATATTTTACAGGAACATGCATTAGTTGTCATAACGCAAAAACAGGAAAACAAGAATCAATTGCTGAAAGAGAAACTGTATCACTTTGATCTACTGAAAACTTCAATGATTCAGATACTATGATTGATTCTATTTTTTTTTCTACATTAGTGGAGACTTCAATTTCCAATGGATCAAGTTTGGTGAATTCTAATAGAGAATCTAATTCTTCATCTGCTATATATTGACATATTATGACAAGGCTAAGAATAAATGCTACCAGAAGTGTTGATAGTCCTAGTTCATTTGCTAGTGATAATGATTCTCATACTGGTTCTCGAAAAAGGTAACTGACAACAAATATAATACAAGATTCTTGGCAAATGGATTGCAAAAAGCTATTACTAAGAATAAACTCCAACAATTACATGGCAATAATACTAAGCAAGGGTTGACAATTACTATTCTTAAGGAGTATTATACTAACAAGTTAAGTGATGATGAGTTGCTGACTAAAGTACAAGTATGAGAAAAATATGAAAAGGCCTGTATTTTTTACAGCATTTAAGCCAGGACTATTACAGGGTAAACTGTTGAAGAGGGAGATAGAACTGGTAAGTACAATGTAAATATAAATTATAGAGAGTTATTTAGTAGTAAGAAATAAAGTTGATAGTCTATCCATATCTCACTGGCAATTCTATCCTACATGACAACTATTTCTTCATCATTTTCTTCATTATATTCTTTATCAACTTGAATATTTATACTATTATTTTCCGTCTCTTTTCAGTTACAGCTTCCCTGATCCTATATAGGATTATTATATCTATAATTAGATTCTATTAATTTGAAATTAGCTAATATTAGATTAATGATAATTAATCACAATATATCATGGGATAAGTCTAAGTTCTCCTTTGATACACATTGATAAATAAAGTTATGGAAACAAGCTAAAGTAATAACTAGTTTTGCTTGAATGGGAAAGCAATATTCCGGTATACATCACAGAATTGTAAACTGTCACTTCTATACACTGAGTAGTCTCTTTACCACATTTCACAGTTGTGAATCTCTGTGGTTAAATAATTCCAATTATGAAATCAGAATGAATTAATATTATAAAGTTTAAACTAGTAAACAGTAGTTAATAATTAGCTGTAAAGTTATAACCAAGTAGTAAAGTTACTTATAATGTATTCAATCTTATCCTGCTATATGTTTAGCATTTTACTTTCATAATACTGATTATTCAGAAGAACACACCAGTAATTTGCATTTAACTACCAGTGATGTTGCTATATATACTCATGGACTTTAAGAACTCAAGTATGCTTATTTCTTGACTAGTAGTATGACCTTCTTGTAATTAGGTACTTAGCACTGTATACAATTAACATAACTGTAGAAACAGGATCATGTTTGCATTTTTTTCTTGCTATTATTTTTAGATATCTCTTATTTTCCATTATATTTGCTTCAGATTGTCATGTTTTATTTTATAAATTTTATAAAAGTATTATAATAATCATAGAAGTGTACAGCCACTTAGCAGAAGTATTCGTGAAACTGGTCTCAGATGACTAAGCTGCCTCACCAAAATGCCTCCATTCAATGAAGTGTAAAGTTGATCGTGACCGTTTACCCCATTACGACTGTGACCATTCACAAATCTATACCTACAGAAGACTTCTTTACCTAATTAATTAATTTATTAATTTTGTCTACCTTTTTCACCAATGGTTAAGCATTCTGGAAATACAAAGTATGCCGAAAAAAAGACCCCTACCTAAAACCACCTGGTGAGAAATGAGCCTTGTAGAGAAGGGCATGATAATTGCCTTTTTCTACTGCCTCTGGAATATTGCCTTGCTTACTCAAATTATTAGACACCTATGGACAACAGATAAGAGCTTTCTTGTTCGGGCATGTGAATGCCAATCTCTTAAAAATCTCTCTCACACCGGTTGCACCCCCATTTTGAGTCAACAGCATAGCACAATTATACAGGCAGCCAAGTCCAACTGCAAAATGACCAGATGCGCCTTCAGGGATCGCTATGCCCCCAGTATTTCTCTTGATACTGGTAACTCCTTGTACTACCCAGAGTAACTAGATATGATTGCCTACTAAATTTGCCTGCATAGTGGACCGGGTACTCAGAGAAGCAAACATTAAAAAATGGATAGCCAAGTTAAGACCTAGGTTAAAGCCAGATTATTTAGCTAAGAGATTGAGATGGGCTACAGCTCATAGGAACTGGACAG